TTAGGTTAAACATGGCATTCTCATTACTGTTAACAGAATAATATTTAATAACATAATTCTGGAAATATGAACATTAGGTTTCAAAGTTAGTTACAGAAAACACGTACTCAAGCAAATGGTAATAAGAATAAATAAATAAAACTGCTGATCATTCAGGGACATTTAAGGAGCTCCATCATTAATTGCTAATGTAAACAGTATTGATAGAATGACTTGCAAATATATATCTGAACGGGTGAAAAAAAAGTTTGCATAAACATGAAAAACAGCAAATGTTTATTTTACGAAATCAAGTATACACATCGGTTTCATCTATGTGGAATGAAACTTGCTGATAGAGAACAATATGAAATTGAGTGGAATAAATAAGTCATTCTTGATGAAGTAGCTGAAACTACTTATATTAAACCGTTTGAAGTATAATTTTAAATAGTACTATAAATTATCAAGATGGAACATTACGAATTATCTTTAAAAAAGTATATTAATGAATGGTAATTATAATTGTTTCTGCTTGGTATCGAGTCAAACAGATAAGCGCAAAGACCAAACATTTCCATGCAAAAGTGTTTTAATCACTTCACAACAACAAACGAAAAAAAAAGTCAATACCTCAAATTGTATTACAACATCGGAAACGCGGTTAGTATCGATGAAAGGTAAAATATTACTGGAAAAAGATAAAGAAGCGTGGCAGAACGTAGTCATTGCAACTATGTTCAGAAACACTAAGGATATATCTGAACGTTATGGAGGAAAGGATAAAAACAAACTGGTAAGCGCATTAAACACAGTTTCTAGATGGATGCAATGATGGCAGTATCGAAGTGGAAAGAATATCTGAAAAATCCAAATGAGTATGTATCCAGGAGTTTTTAAAATTTTGTTCCACTTAGAAAGTTCCATCATACTAATCATTAACAATGTAGTTGACAGTCACGGCAATTTAATACTATTTGAAATGATAAAAGAAAAAAAATAGATCCAATTATTTTTTGAAGTATTGTTCATTAATATCCAATGTTCCAAAAACTTGGAAAGATGCAATAAAAACAATTTAGCGACAAAAATTTGGATCAGCAAGAGAATAAAATCAACAACTTGAAAAAAATTCACTGAAGTCTATTACAAGAGTAAAAGATGTAACGCATATCTAAGCCAGGAACGTGGATACAATTCTTAAATTAAAATAGAAACAGCGAAGAGTGGTCTAAAATCTATATCCGGGGGAAACTTTGTACTATGGATAAAAAGTTGATCTATTTTAATGTTAAAGTAATTCTTAGAATAATTGTACTAATAATTTTGGAGAGGAAATAACATAATTAGACGACGACAAATGCACTTTCTATAACCGTGAGAACGAAAGTATTGAACACCTGTTCGGTGATTTCAATATTACATCAAACATTCTGGTTCCGTGTTGCAATACATATTGCAATTTGTTGATCAAATATTGAACATTTGTCTAAACAAAATATGTTTAGAAAGTGAAATGGACATTTTGTGTAATCTCTTGCTTATTTTAGCTAAATATTATATTTATACTTGCAGATTAAATATACAAAGTCTCTTCCATTTCTGCCTGAAACGCAAAAGAACATAAGAAAAATATATAAATAAGCTAGAAAACAATGAGGATCAATTTATTCAAAAATGAGCCTCAATCATGAACATGTGATTTGTGCAATAGGGTGAACAGGAACCAACACTGTAATATAAGAATATGGACACACGCACGCACGCACGCGCACACCCACCCACACATAGTGCATACATACATACATACATACATACATACATACATACATACATACATACATACATACATACATACATACATACATACATACATACATACATACATACATACATACATACATACATACATACATACATACATACATACATTCATGCATGCATGCATGCATGCATGCATGCATGCATGCATGCATGCATACATACATACAGACAGACAGACAGACATACATACATACATACATACATACATACATACATACATACATACATACATACATACATACATACATACATACATACATACATACATACATACATACATACATACATACATACATACATACATACATACATACATGCATGCATACATACATACATACATACATACACACACACATATATATATATATATATATATATATATATATATATATATGTATATGTATATATATATATATATATGTGTGTGTGTATGTGTGTGTGGGTAATATGTCGAATTTTGAAAACTCTTAGAAGCATTGGTTAAAGGAATTGTATCAAAGTCAACTTAATTAAAGTAGAAAGGGCTAGAGATAGTTAGATGATTATTTTCATTTCATCTCTGATAGTCAAAAGAAAATTCGTTCCACGCGATGAAACATGACCGAGTCAAATGCTATGGTACAAGGGAATGACATAATACCCTTTACCAAAATCAACCGGTTAAAGGAGGAAGTTTGGCAATAAGTGATTGTTCAAAGGAACGTTTATTACAGCATGATTAGCTGTGTTGACAATCAAAAATTATACGCATAAGATTTAGGAAACAGTCGTGTCTGATTGGTGAAGATTAATTTATGGGCGTAACTCTGTAAGAAATTAAGAGATTTGCTTTGAAGAAATTCTTCAGTCTTCAATCTTCCTTGAGAAAAGTTAGAGGGGACTCCGAAATCGTAGCAAATACGTTTTCGTTATTGAGTAAGTGGCCGTAGAGTTGTCTCATATAGGAGACAGACTATACGTGAGGTTCGTAGAAGACGAATAAGAAACGACAAAAGGAAAACAGCTTTTCATGAACTTTCCCAAGATTTCCGGAACTCTCCTGGTATTCCCTGAAAATCCCTGTACCAACTCCAAGGACCAGAGCAAATTCTGAGCGGAAGTCATGTCCAGACAATTGTTAAGTCAGAGTTCGACTGACACGAGTCCAGGTCCAGACAACTAGACAAAGGTTGGCAGAGCAGGGACGAACGGAAGACTCAGTGTCCGAATAAGTTAGGTGATGATGTCGCTCATTGTTGCACTCAAAGTTCACATCTCGTAGACAATGAAGAATTGAATTATTTCTGTCACTGACAAGTACTAGAAAGAAAATTTGTATTGTCCTTTTTATTTGAGTACATGTTAGTACATTTTTCCTTCTTGTAAACAAGTAATTAATTTCGTTTCATTTTAAATTCTGCTGTTAAACTGTTTAAATGTTATATTTGTTCATCGAAAGAGGGTTCGTTGTGTTTATTTCTTCAATATACTTGTTCATAGATCTGCATTCTTCTTTCTCTCTACACTGGGTAAATTACACCGCGGGGAGATCATTACCTAGCAGCGAACCGTAGTATGAATTAAACCTAAACAGTCATGTTGAGTTTAACAAACACAACGTTTTTTTACGTTTTATTTGTTTGTTGTGTCTGTTTGGTACATGCATTTGAAAAAAAGACTCATTAAGAGTCGATATATATATATATATATATATATATATATATATATATATATATATATATATATATATATATATATATATATATATATATATATATATATATATATATATATATATATATATATAACCCATAAGGGTAGATTCTATAATGCATTTATAGACTATGAAATGTTCTTTGATTAGGTGGAGAAGAATTTATTGGATTAAAACCATGTGAGTGAAAATATTAGTGAAATATTTTAATAATTATTAAGACAATTTATAATGATGCAAAAGCATTTGTTAAATCCAACATTGTTACTACCGATGTGTTTAATTGCCCTATGGGCATAGGTCAAGGTTGCGTTTTATGGTATTTGCTATTTTCTTTAGTTATGAACGAACTGGAACACTTCGTTGCAGAAGGAAAGATGTTCGATTGGGTAGAAACCTTAGAACAATTGTATTTAATGTTGTATGCAGACGATTTAATTGTTTATACTGACATTGCTAAATAGTTGCAAAATATGCTAAATAGAGTGCATACGTTCTGTTAAGAGGAGAAAATAAAAGTGAATATGGAGAACACGAGAGATACATATTTTCGCCCAAGTGGATATTTCTTTAATTATGCAAAGTAGTACAAGGATCATAGGATCTCCGATGCATAATTTCTTAGCAAGAACTAATAGTATGTGTGCCAAAGTCTGTGCATGTTTTCAAGCGACGTCTTTTAAATATTTTGGAACTTGTAACTGGATTTCTTGGTCTGTTTTTCTCTAATAAATCTCCCATACTTGTGGATTTCTTGGTCTGTTTTTCTCTAATAAATCTCCTATAATACAGAATGAGAACGTAATTTAAAACCTTAACTGAAAATTTAACAAAAATGCCAGAAGACAGATATCCAAGACAATATCACAATTCCCAACTAAGATGGAGAGAATTATTAGACACTAAAACATCTTTATCGTATCGTATCGAGTTGTAATATGAGCAGTGGCTTTTAAAATATTATTATTATTATTATTATTATTATTATTATTATTATTATTATTATTATTATTATTATTATTATTATTATTATTATTATTATTATTATTATTATTATTATATTTAGTAGTAGTAGTAGAACTAGTGGTGGTAGTAGTAGTAGCACAAGTAGTAATATTTGTAGTGGTAGTTGTAGTAGTACTAGTAGTAGTAGTACTAGTAGTAGTAGTAGTAGTAGTAGAAGTAGTAGTAGTAGTAGAAGTAGTAGTAGTAGTAGTAGTAGTAGTAGTAGTAGTAGTAGTAGTAGTAGTAGTAGTAGTAGTCTGTGTGTTGATTTGGATGTTTAACGTAGCTTTATTAATTTTTCAGTCATATCGCCACGATGTCTACAATGTGAGAGTTTATAGTGATGTTTAGCACTAAGGCATCATGCCGCAGACTTATAGCATGATGTCCCGCCCTGTCACATTGTTCTGACACCAGGCTGACCAGTCCTAACAGTAACCTCTTAATGCTGAGCGTCAAACGAGGCATCTGTAAGTACCATTTTTGTCAGTCTTTGGTATGACCCGGTTGGTGTTCGAAGCCAGGACCTCCTGCATCCAAGGCGGACACTCTAACCAGTAGGCCATTGGATCGGTCATTAGTAGTGGTAGTAGTAGTAGAAGTAGTAGTAGTAGTAGTAGTAGTAGTAGTAGTAGTAGTAGTAGTAGCAGAGCAGTAGAAGTGATAATAGTAGTATAAGTAGTAGTAGTTGCAGAAGAAGTAATACATTGAGTATAATAAATAGGTATACACCTGAATTCACTGAGTGTCGCGAACTCAAACAACTCACCGACATTGGTCTCACAATCATTCCTTGCAAGACATTCCACAACTTGCATAATTATTACAGACACTATATAAGTTTTTGAAGGGAAAAAAAATGTTTGTCTTTGGTTTTTGTCCACAGAGAATGCATGACATATGAATATATCGCTCCCAAACATATATTTTCTATCAATAGCAATTATTGACTTTTAGTTCATTTGGGGGCCAAGAAATGTGGGTCAAGAAATATTAATTTAAAAAAAAAATATTTATGCTTGGCGCGGTTATATCGAATATTTGGATATAGACTACAAATAATGATCTCATACAATATATGTGAAAATGATGCTTAATATGTCATTGTTTTAGATCTTGTAATAATCAGGGTCTATTCCTAAACCACTGACTATATGTATTGCCCATTATTAAAACTTTTGTCATCGTAATATGTAGGATAAAAATAAGTATAGTCTTTGAGAAATCTTCCATAATTGGATAGAAACAAACCTGATTTTTTGTAGCATCAGTGAAGTGAATTAAAACACGAAGTTTATTTTCCGAAAGAATTTGATTACCGACTCTACTCGCTTATAAGTCAAGCCCAGTTGCAAACAACAGATACTGATTTGTCGTCACATAATGTGCTTGCAGATCAGGGTCTATCTTGTTTGCTGTACTGATTTCTTCTAACAAGCTGCAGTGACCCATATCAACTTGCAAATTATGGGATGGCAGATATTGGTTCTGTAAAGTTTGCAGTTGGATATGGACCGATAAGTGCAAACAGACGACCCGCTACTTAGACTGTCCTAGAAGCCTTGCTACAATTACGTCTTTTCCAGGCCACAGTCGTTCTAGTACCAAAATCTCCATATCATACAAGTATTAATGATTTTCTGAATCAGTTCATTTATTTTTTATGGTTACCCCATGGTAATATTGCAGTAATGACAGAGTAGGTGATCATTGTTATATACCCAAACCCAAAACTTATAAATTTTACATAGAGGTGTAATTAATTAAAAGTATTCAGAAGCAGCGTGATGAGAATGGGTGGGATCGGATCAGAGATTGGCTCTAAGACGACGGGCGAAGGTGTCGATGTCGTAGTTTCTTTCTTTTGGAAAATGTAGGTGAGTTTTACAACAAGGATAACATAATCTCGAACAGCTGTTCAACCAGAGGAGTTTACTCTGGATAACTCTAATGGTAATGACATATTTGCTTAACGTTAGGCTAGTCATGATTATGTGGTATCATGGTACAAGTTGTTACTCCATAGACCCACAATGCTAATATTTGGTGAAATACTTTCCATCATACTAAACCATGCGCGTCAGACCCTTTCATAGATATCAGTGTCATATTGTCCATATGAAAAGGACACATCCAGGCACTCCTTTCCATTCAAGGGATATAACTCCTGGAGCTAGAGAGAAGTAATAGTTATCCAATCATCACAGCTTTATTTTAAATGAAGGTGTTTCACACTTCAAAATATCATTCAAGAATGGCGTGCAATCGTTCATTATCTCAACTTCTGTTCTGTTATCGGACAGATTCTACTGCCGGATCTGAAGAGGGGAAATAAGACCTAACTAATGCTAGGGTTTTGATTGCGTAAATTGTAAGTGTTAACAATCCTATTTTGGATGTGTTATATATACTAAAGAGAAGGGTCCATGAACTTGATTCAGTTGAATATCATGTACTACAACTTTTAAATTGTTAATACGAACTGTTTTATGAAATCTTATTAAAGCTGAGTTATTCTAAGCTAACTGAAAGATAGAAAACTATTCCATTGAATACAATATGCTGTTAAATAATTATTTAGAACAGATTAACATTTCCAGCCTAGCCTGATTATCTTCATCACTTGATAACCAATGTTACCAAGTGTTAGGAAAATTGTGTTTGAACGCTAGCCGGCCAAAGTGTCTGAAATCCCATTTATTATTATTATTATTATTATTATTATTATTATTATTATTATTATTATTATTATTATTATTATTATTATTATTATTATTATTATTATTATTATTATTATTATCATCACTATATTATTATTAATACTATTATTATTATTATTATTATTATTATTATTATTATTATTATTATTATTATTATTATTATTATTATCATCATCATCATCATCACTATATTATTATTAATACAATCATCACTATTATTATTATTATTATTATTATTATTATTATTATTATTATTATTATTATTATTATTATTATTATTACTATTATTATTATTAAATTTATCATAGTCAAAGTTATGCTAGTCATAGTTTATAATATGACTTCCATTTTTCTTCTCTTTTTCATAACAATACTGTAATGTGTCGAATTTTGAAACTAATAGAAGTATTGATTAAATGAATTGTACCAAAGTTAACTTGATTAAAGTAGAAATAGCCAGTGATCTCCAATTGTGTAATTTGTCCGGTATTGAGTAAGGTCAAAACAAAGTGTGATATTATGGGTGGAATAAATAAATGATCTGAGAGGATATATAGAACAGAATAACATGAACCCCCGTTACAAATAAAGCCAAATCATTTTTCAAAAACAATACAAAAATTTACAAACAAATGATATAAACGTTGCAATTCGAAAGGTACACTTCTTTCTTTTCTTTTTCAAAGTAATTACGGAATTTCAGAATGCTAATAAGATTTAATAAAATTAGCCGATTCTGTTTTCGATAGAATCAAATCATCATTTAGCGAGTGAGAAAATCGAATAATACTGCCTTGCATCGATTCATAACCTGGTGTTCGATTCCGTCTAAATGGTCCACCAAGACTGTTCTTCGGGCTCCTCCGCACGGATAAGTCTTCTTCACGCTACTTCCCCTTTCCCCAAATTATTGGTATCTCAACGTTTCTCCTTTCTGGCGTTTCACTCTGTTTGGGTTGTGAAAAAAATCGATCTTCCTAAAATTATCTCACCTTGTGGAAATATAAATAAAAGTAACCTAAATCTTCCGTCACATTATACGGGGAAAACAATTATTGGTTTAACCACTCGAGTTCAGTCGTAATTCTATCAGATTCAAACAGACATCGATTGCTATCTAGAATAATAGGTCATAACAGAATATACCATCTAGTTTAACATAGTAATGGTCTGTTAATTGTCATTTATACCACACCGAGACATTAATTCCTTACTAGTCTCATTACACGAGAATGAATTAAATTTTCTACCCTACGTTTGTGTTACAAATACACATAAAAAATTCTTTCGAATAACTTCCACGGCTTCCTCTTAGTATCTTCATTTCATCAATTCGTCAATGTATATAAGTAAACAATCTCATTGTGCGAACTCAGATACATGAGCTCAACACATCTATTCCAGATACATCATTTCCTATATAATAAGAAAGACTATAACTTAGCGAGCCGTCAGTATTCGTATAAAGACAAACTCCGATAAACAACTCAAGTATACCAATATCAAGAAAAATGATCTACAACTTAAGCAAATAAATCCCTACAAATACATGCAAATACAAGCATTCAATCACCAAATCATCGTAGTAGCATCAACTAATTACAAGAGATTATGCAAATACCTTGTGTTTCAAGCTTTTACTGTCTGTCAAATCCTCTAGGCAATAGTGTTCCACCATGGATGCTTTTTACGAGAGATTTGCTCATTAAATTTTTCAGGTCCCCTCAGTCTTATGTTCTTTTCTCTTGTAGAAAAGTAAAGACTTGGTTACAAATTACACTACTGCACATTTAAACTGATAGTTTTTCCTGTCAAACCACGCCCATTTCCATAGCGTAACCAATCGGAATGACATAGAATTCCTACCTCACTAGCATAGAAACACTGCAATACATTTGACAACAAATGGCTATAAACTATTTCTGGTCAGTTTCTCAACAGTCATTTTCCATACAAACTATAACTTAAATTCCGTTCTAGTAAGTTGAAATAAACTAAGCCCTTAATTATAAATCGATAACTCAAGACTTTGGCTGAACCAATCCAAACATTATGGCTTTTTAAACGCGGCCATTCTCCATAAATCTAGTTAGTAGTACATTTGTCTAGCTAAATATTTCCTACAGAGATTAACAATAACAACAGATATCGACCTAAAATATTGGTCTCTTGGAAACAATATCAGGCACACCAGGAATTTCCGAATAGAAAACCAATGTCCTGAACTTAAATCCAACCTAACATGTTAATTTACAAATAATAACAATCTTAAAATATAATCTACGATCACAGATAAAAAAATTAGCTATGTCATATGTTGTTCACAAAAGGAAGCCATTAGTCATGTAGTTCCAAACTCCTACTCTCAATCATGGACAAAAGTCATTAACACAACGCAAATTGAATATACATTAACTGTCTTGTTAATCAGTGCAATATTCATCCATCATCAAAGTAAGTAACTTGCAGCATTTCATTATTGTCATTTCGTCTCATAACATTTAAGAATACAGCATGGTTTAAAATTATAAAACGGCAACCAAAACCAAATATTTGCAATGAAATAATTAGTGACACTGACATAATGAACCTAAAAGAGCAGGACAATGGGCAAGCCGACTAAAAACCAGAGGAGCAAACCTTTTAAGCCAGCCATTTTTCTTTTTAAAATGTTCCGTTGAGTCATCCCTCACCAAATTGGAATCATGACAAGGTCTATTTTGCCCTTGTGTGACTTTCTTGGGCAAAAATGTAAATGTTATCAACGAGGACTAACTACAAGTAAATAGTGTGGTGACAAACAACTGTGTAATGAAATCGTAGATAAATCTTTTACGGTGTCAACTGTTGTG